CATAAATACTTGCATATACACTTTTAGTTCATAACCCCTAGGAACGGTGTGGGGGTGGGTGTGTGGGTGTGGGTGTGTGGGTGTGGGTGTGTGGGTGTGGGTGTGGGTATGAGTGCGGGTGTGGGTGTCGGTAGGTGGGGCTGGGGGCTTGGGTGTGGATCTGGTCTATATCTACACCCACACCCACACCGTTCCTAGGGGTTATGAACTAAAAGTGTATATGAAAGTATTTATGATACTAATAAACCCCAAAAAAGGGGGTATGTGACAGGGTTTATGACATTCATAAACTCTTTTCATGGGTTTATTATTTTACACCTATTTTTTTACAGTGCAGGCCCACACCCACACCAAGACCCAGACCCACATCCAGCAGCTACAGCCATACCTCACACTCACACACACACTCCTAGTTCGAAGAAAATACGCGGCAAGGTTTCCTATAATTTGCTCGATTATCCATAAATTCATTTATAATTAACATAGTTTCGATCACATACTGTGAAATTCTATAATATTTAGAGCTGTTATTTAAACGTACGAACTGCGAGTAAAACAATGTCACAAAATGGTTCAATATACACCAGAAACTTAGGTTTCGTTCGTTTTCGGGCCTTTTTAATCGGCGTACTTATTATTAGCGGGTTTCTGTTCGTATTATTGGTCAGTATTATATTGAAAAACCCTATTCCTCAACTCAAGGTATGGGAAAATAATGTCATCATTGATATCGAACGTAGACCTGCATTTATTGATTCTTCGGGTTACCTGCGATCGGCTTTGTCGCCGTACCTTCGATGGTGTACTGCTAATCCATTTTTAAAATCCTATAATCAAAATGTAATACTTGATTTAGAACTCGAATGGGTTTCATGGAAACGCCGTGAATTACTCACTACGTATCAAATTTTGAAGAACTATGCACTTCGAATTGGAGATTGGGGTGGGGGTATGGTTCATCTCGCATATCCGTCATCACTACCATTACCTTGTCCCTACAAAAATAACCTGACTCGTATCGGTGGAGTTAATGATGGTAACAAGATATTATGTGGAGTGGAAATTTTGAAGCCATTGACTAAGTGCGTCGTATATAGCTTGGGTTCTTTTAATAATTTTAATTTTGAATTTGACCTGCTAAAGCAAACATCTTGCGCAATTCATACATATGATTGCACAAGTCCGCCACCAGGAGCATCGATAGAGCGATTGACTTTTCATCAAATTTGTTTAGGTGATGCGTCACAGTTGCAAAAATTTATGCATCCTTATAACTCGCAGTCAGAAAATCGCATATTCAACAATGCATCGCTTTTCAAACGTTTTGACACAATATTGAAAGAAAATAAACATGAAGAAGTTCATATTCTTAAGATGGATATCGAAGGAGGGGAATATTCGGTTTTTTCGGACTTATTATGTCAAGCAAATGGAACTATTCTACCTTATCAAATATCTTTTGAGTCACATTGGTGGAACCGCGATATATACCATGCAATACTGCACCAAAAAATGTTTTCTCAATTATGGGAAGTAGGTTACAGAATTCTACAGCATGAATACAATCCCGGCGATCACACTTGTGCAGAATGGACATTAATGAGAGTTTTCTGCTAATACCCTTCTAAAAGTGCGGCGAATAAAATCTTATTGTAATTGATTCTTTTTCGTTATTAAAAGTTACTTATGATGGCATCATTATATGCAAATTTAATTTGATTCGAAATTCTAAAAGTTGATTTTGATTGATATTACTGAATAAATAATTATCATGGATTGTTTTATCATTTAAGATCTCATTCGAACGGATATTGTGAAAGGACGGGGGACGGTTTGTAAACAAAATGGCCCTAAATAAAAATCACTTCAAAATGCGTTCTGAATTTGAATGTCATATTGGTCTGTGCAAGAATAAAGGATTCGGAACTCATTCAGACCATTTTTTGAAGCATTCTCTCAGCATCTGTAGCCCTGACATTTCTACTATCGATCGCACAATGCCATTTCAATGTTAACGACCGATGTCGTGTGTATGAAAACCACACTTTCAGGGCAGATAGAGCTTTTCGATAGCTACAAGTTGATCATAAATTATCAAGCAAAATATACTGTGCTCTGAAATGTCCAAAGACCACGCTAGCGAAACTCTATGGGAAAACCAATGGACGACATAGTACGGCCCGCACAATCTCGACTATCGCTCATGATACCATCGTTAGTTTTTCTGTGCAGATAGAGCTTTTCGAGAGCTGCAAAACGATCACAAGATATGAAGCGAAATTTGCTGTTCTCGGAAATTTCCAAAGACCACACTAGCGAAATTTTATGGGAAAACCAATTTTTACTATAGTATGCAGAACATGACTCTTTCCAAGTATGCTTTTTTTTTCGCTATTAGTGATCGAGAAGATGACGCTCGTTTCATCAGTTTGTTGGGTAATACGTAATATGTGGATGGCATGCATATTAATGGTATATCGGTCAGTCGTAAGTAGTTTATCGTGGACGTCCTTATCATTAGTTCATTTGATACCAGCTGATATTTTGTTTCGGACATCCGTGTCAATCGTGTAGTTGATGATGGTAACAAGGCCGATACTGAGATACATCCTATTCTTTATCGGGCATCAGCCCCTTCCTTGCTAATTGGTGTTTTGGATTCAGAGCAAAACGACTTATAGGACGTCCTTTTCATAATCATCCGTGACCGGGATTCGATACTGAGACCGTTGAACTTAGATAAATTATGGCTATGAACACTGGACCACCCGATCGATTTAAATGAGATCTGTTGGAGGATGTCAGCAGTAGTGAATTGATTATACTGACTTGTAGGATATTTTTCGTTGTATGTTGTGACTTGCTGGCAACCTTTTTTCAGGAGAGGCATGCATGAAAGGTTATATATAATAAGTTAAAGTGATAAATAAGCACACAGAGATGTAAGACGGTGAAAACGGTAAAAAAAGTCCCCGGTTACGGACATAACTTCTCAATCTTGAAGTTGTGTTCAAAGGAGGAATAGTTATTCATGTTTTTATTTCTGGAGAAAAAGTTTACATGGGTATATATATACATATGTCAGTTTAATCATTCGCAACACTACATTCGTTTGGATAAGACGTGTTCTATAATTGTTTATATATATCGATATACATATATATTCCTTTTTCTGTTCTTATACAAGTCACGTTCTCATAGTCTTTGACTACACGTGACTTATACTTCACCTTGGCCTATAGGCTTCGGCACTGCCGACTCACCATAAGCATGAATAAGGATACTGAGGCCCCTCTCCCGTCCTTCCCCCACGAAATTTCAACAACAAACTCTGTAAATCCAAAAAACAAACACGTTCACAACCAAAATCAACACCCAACCTCTCTCGAACAAAACTCATCCAGCTCAATTACCATTACTCCAAATGATCCAACACAACACCCACAACCATTTTTATCTCTTCATCTCCCAATGATGAACGTTCCTCATTTATCAACCATCAATGGTCCAGATTTTAACACGAATCAATATCCTCATCCAATTCCATTGCTCTATCAACAAACCAACAGTACACCAACGACATCTAGCATCTCCATTTCAACATCCAATAGCAATGCCCAACAAGTATGTGATATTACACAACCACAAAATGATACAACACCAACAACTAATGATAATGAAAATAATTTCATCCTGGTGAAAAAAAGAAAAAAGAAGATTAAAACTGATCATACCAATTCTAACACTCCAGGACCTGATACATCATCGCCATCGTGGACATCAACATCATCTTCTTCCTCTACATCATCATCATCAATTCGTACAGACGGATCAACATCTTCAACAAATTCTGATAGTATAGTTTCAGCTAAACAAACAACTTCAACAACAAATCTCAAACAAGTTCATCCAAGTCAAAGATCTTCAGAACATGTTCAACAAATACAACAAGGTAAAGCAGCAATAAAATACACCACCCAAACATCGGATCTTAGTCATCAACCAAAAGAAGTATCTGAATAAGCACGTAGATTTGCTCAAACAAGGTATGCTTTTCCTCGTTTTATAATAAAATTCCAACAGGTAGTGAATGAGAACGTAATAATTAAAAATTTAATGGAACATTTTTCGTCCACGTACAATTTTGAATTAAAATTTGCTGGTCATCGTTTAAAGGATCATCAGGAATTATTGTTATTTGTCCTGAGCCGGGAAACACTCCTGATGCTTTATGAAAACAGGAATTGGCCAAATACAATTAATTCAATTGATTATCTTAAAATTAGTCCAAGTCATCTACCACCTCAATTTTCTATTATGTTAAGAAATGTTCCACTGGATGTGGATGTTAATGAATTTTTATCATTAGTCAAGATTGATTATCCCGATATTATGAATGTCCATCGAATATCAAATAAATTGAAACAACCAACATCATTTATCCGTTTAGACATTAAGAACATCGAGACAATAAATGAACTACTTAGAAAAAAATTCATCATGGTTAAAAATGAACGATTTCCGGTAAAAGAATATATTGCTCCAGCTAAAGTCTTGATATGTTCGAAATGCTTCCAAATTGGACATTTCCGTGGTAGATGCAAAAGTGTTCTTGATTATTGTAGGTTGTGTGGTAATAGTGTTCCTGATCTTAAACTTCACAAAGAATCATGTGATAATCAATTATGTTGCATTAGATGCAAAGGGCAACATGATGCTAATGATATTAGATGTCCTGAAGTTAAGGCTTATCGTGCAGCATTAACAAAATCATTATTAACCACCACAACAAACACGAACAACAATCGCAACAACCATCAAGCACATCCATCTAGTCATACAAATTTTCGTTATAAAGATCAAGACTTCCCACTGCTGAACCACAATTATATGAACAATTATTCAAAAAATAACAATCAAGCTGATTTAACCAAAAGAATTGATGAATTAGTTACACAATCGAACAAGATCGAGAAGAACCTAAATAGATTAATGGAATTGAACAACAACTTCATTGTCCAACAAACGAATATGCAACATCTAATTACAAATCATGATCATATGATACAGATACAACAACTTGATTTAGGTTTTCAGAAAGACTTAGTAAATCACTTCATATTACCTGTATGTCAAGAACTTACCGAGATCATACCTTTATTTGTTCAACAACAATTAGTTAATGATACAACAACATTTTGTCAATCGCTAACAGCTTTATGTACAAAACTTGGAAATGACCTCCCATTATGGTTTAAACGTTCAACAGAAAATGAAAATGCAAAAAATAAACTATCAATGGAACTGAATCTGAAGAACAATCTACAAGTCCACCAGAATTACTTATCATGTAGCAACGCTCCGCCACCACCTCCTAACTAAGAGTCAAGTCAACAACAACAACAACAACAATTACGAATTACGAGCTATCCCCCCTTGCCCCCGTATTCACCCCGGTCGTAGAGGTACCAAGGCAAAAGAATTTCGATATTGAGTATGCACTTGCTATTGCATCTTCTTATTTATCTAAATTTGAATTTGAATTATTGTCCCAAATCACTAGTGAGTGGTCTTCATTTCCTACTCTGTCCTCTTGTTTCACCTATTGGAAAACTTTCGATCTTCCATGTGACTATTCTTATATACCACAACTAGGTCTACTTCTTTTTAATGTACGTGGGTTGGAGGAAAGATGGGAAGAGGTGGTACTATTAATAGAGAAATACAAGATCGGCATTTTAATATTGACAGAAATAGGAGCATGTGATATAAAATTTGTAAAGAAAATTTTTATAAATTATAATATTTTTTTCCAGAAAGGTGAAAATGCATGGGGTGGAGTAATGATGCTAATTAGAAAGAATTTACAAGTAAAGAGAATAGATTGTAAAACCCCTAATATATGTGTAGTTGATATTAAACTTGAACAAATTATTCGTATAATAGGTATTTATGCTCCTAAGAGTAAAACATGGAGTTGGAATGATCTATCTGAACATATAACTGAGCATTGCTGTCTTCTAGGAGATTTTAATATAGATCTTGAGGATAAATCAGATGAAAAATCGACGAAGGATCTATTGAACTGGGCAGATACATGGTCCTTGATACCAATTAGAACAAACACTCCTACCTCCACTCGCTCCAATCGGATTATCGATTACGCATTTTCGCGTAATACACCTTTAACATTACAACACTGTTGTGAAAACACTACTAGTGATCATAAGCCAATTCTTGGTTCACTTAGTTATGAGAGTAAAGAAAACATGAATGGTAGCAACACACATTGGAAAGTGTTTAATAATTTCCTAGCTCTAACATGGGAATTTTGGGAAGAAGAAAGCAAGTTCTCATCACAAGAAGAATATTACAAGAATTTCATCACACTTCTCGATAGTTTGAAATCGCGCTGTACAACCCACTTCCCAATTAAAAAATATAGGGTAGCCATTCCCAAGGAATTGAGACAAAAATTATCGTTTACTAGAGCTCTATCTTTTCGACATAAAAGAACTGGAGATGAGGAACTGCACAAGAAGATAAAAGAATTGAGAAAAAACAACAGACTAGAATTAGACTCATACAGATCTAGGAAATTAGCAAAGGTTATAAACGAAAGATCCACGTCCAATACATCAACAAATTGTTTCTGGTCGAAAGTCAGAAAAAATTTTAGAAAAACTGCTTCACTAAACGCATTTATTGACCTTAATAAGAAGATCGTCAAGAATACATGTGACATGTTAGATTTAGCAGCCTCGCACTACGAAAAACGTTTTTTAGAACAACCCGTATATAGACCTCATCCTTATGTAGATAGTTTGGAAACAAAGTGGGATAATATAAACGACCCGATCCCACCAGCTTCGATGCCCGAACTGATGAAAATAATATCTAAAGTTAAGAAGAAGCACTCCGTAGATGCTCATGGTATTTCATCGTACATGCTTCAGTATATTCCAACTAGATTTTTTGAACCTCTATTGGAAATCTTTAATGATTCTCTCAGGATCTATTCAGGTCCTTCACACTGGAAACACGTGAAGATGAAACTTTTAGCAAAAAAAGACTCAATTTGCACAGTTAAAGATACCAGACCCATCTCTTTATTAGATATTTTCCTGAAAATTTTAGAAAGGCTTTTTCTTAAACGTTTTCAAAAAGTATTGGAAGATAGAGGAGTCATACATGACTCACAATCAGGTTTTAGATCGAGCTTTAGACTCCAAACGAGAGTTTTGAACGTAATAGATCAGATAGCCTCACTCATGAGCACGAGTACCCCGGTAGCTTCCGTTTTCATCGATTTTACCCAGGCATTCGACCAACTGTGGTGGGACGGATGCCTGGGAAAGCTATTGAGAATTGGGATCCCAAAAGCATTTGTCGAATGGATAGAGTGGTGGTTGAAGGGGAGAAAGGGGTTTATAGAAATGAACAACATCCGCTCTATGTACTTTAGAATAGAGAGAGGAGAGCCGCAGGGGTCTTGCATCACCCTGGCCATTTTCCTGGCATATCACTGTGATATGTGGAAGTTTGTGAACCAGTCGCTTCCAAACTTCTTCGCTGATGATTTAGCTTGTGTAGTAGGAGGACGCATGGGGGTAAAATATACATCACAATGTATTGATCTCGAAAGACGATTAAACGATGTACTTGAATATTTAGAATACTATGCAGTCCTCGCTCGCCAGCCTATTAACTATGAAAAAACTAAACTTATGTGGTCCGCTAGAGCTATAGGGAATCCCAGGTTCGACATCTACGTCAACGAACATAAAATTGAGTGAAGTAAAGAATTTCGATATCTAGGTTATCATATCTCTTGTAAATTGGGTTGGGATAAAATGATAAACATCTATAAAGATAAAATTAAACAAAGAGTAGTCATCGCTAGTAAATTTATGATCTATGGATCATCCTCAAGGGAATTAAGAAGAAGAATATTCATCGCCTACGTGCTCCCCCTTTTCGCATGGTTATTTAGTATCTTTCCGCTATTTACAGATTGTCAGCAGGATGATTTAGTCCACTTCTACTTTAGCTGTATGAGAAAATGTCTCGGTGATTTAGCCTGGAACGATCTTATGTTTGCCTCTCTGGGTGATGAGATATCACTGGAAGGCAGATGCAAGAGATATTGGAAAAGATATAAATCCCACTTGTATAACTCTATGGACGGTCTCCTTCTATCCGAACAACACGCATGGAATACTTGGAGAAGATTATGGCTACAAAAAGATATAAGAATAAAACAAATGTATCGTTCAAAAAGAATAGTTCCATACACAACTACATTTGAAAAATGCCTAAGGTGGATGGAACAGACCGAAGATGATCACAACCCAATGATACCACAGGAAGATTTCGACTTACTAGCTTGCCACTCATCTTCATTTCTCTAGCCAAAAACCGTTATGCTTACAGGGAATACGCTCTACATCTTAAAGATAATGCGAGCAACTCCTTCATGTTCCACCTTTCATCCAATCATTCCCCGTTCCCCCTCGCCAAGTGATCGCCGTAATTGCCGTTGTTGCTTCGTTGTTGTCGCCTTGTTGTTGTTGCTTTGTGGTTGTCACCTTGTTGTTGTTGCTTCGTTGTTGTCGTTTATTGTTGTTTCCTCTCCTTTTCGTATTTTTTGTACTCACGACTGTGTGATTTCCTTCATCATCTACTCTACTGACGTTTTAGCTTTTCCTTGTATATCTCTTGTCGTAGCGTTCTGTACTGTACTGTCCTTCTTCTCAGTTGTGTTTTGTACTCTATGCGTCATGTCGTACTCTCGCTTTCTTATCCCTCATATCCCTTTCTATATATAGATTTTCCCCTTTATTCATTTCCATTCCTTCCTGTTTTTCTCCTTATTTTGTGACACTGGTTCACGTTATGTTACCCATTGTAGGATGTATTAATAGGCCGCGAGGCATTAATTTCTCTCTAGCAAAAAAAAAAAAAAAAAAAAAAAATATGTCAGTTTAATGTATAGAGATAGTCACTTTCTTCGTCATCCGATGACGATTCAAAATCAGAAATGTCGTCTGCATACTGAATAGTTTTCTCATTTGTCGACGATGGTTGCCGATTTGTAATTGTTTGGTAGCGTTCATAACTTATAAAACAAATAGCTGCAGCAATGTGTGAGCAGCAACCTACTGTTCGAGGGCCTGCCGTGCACGTACAATACAATGCGCTGACTTGTGTGGAATCAAATTGAATGTAGGTATGGTAGGTAGGGGTGGCACTTTACTTTTACTTTTTGAAAAAAGTAAATAAGTAAAGTAAATAAAATATTTACTATTTACTTTTGTAAAGTAAATATATTTACTAGTAAATAAATTTTTTA